CATATATTTTTTAAATGTGGGTCATATGAAAAAGCCCTGCTCTATAGTGTCTAATACTGTGCACCATTGGACAGAGCTGTAAGTGAGCTGGCAGAAGCCCATTTAAGAGCCCCTACTATTGATACTCTTGTACACCCATGGTTAATTACCAGTGACTTCCAGATCTTGAATATGAACACTAGTGATTTTTATAGTGAGGCAATACAATTGAAGTCTAAATAGGCTGTGTGGGACTTTGCACCCCTAAATAAAGTGAGCCTGGTGTCTGTAGCTTGTATCTTTTACCTATCTGGTCATCTGCTAAGTGTATCTGTTGTTTGTGAGTTTCTCACTTCAAATCTGTGGCCCGACCTTATGCGCAGCTGTGTGTCTGGATTCAAGTTTCTTGTAGAATGTAACATGTGGGCTCGTGACAGGAGTTACACTTCCTGCCTTTTTTCCTGCTTGCTTATTGGCCTGGGAGTGTGGTCTAAGCAGTGAGCTTGTGGGAAATTCTCCCTGTAGATGAATGGGGTATAATTAAACTTTTATGTTTTGTGCAGCGGGGTTATTCTGTACCCAGAGGTGTGCCCTACTTAGAGGAATCTTATAGGGAAAGTGTAGACATGACCTTAAATATAATTTGATACACCCTGCTGTGAAAAGCAAATCTGTTTTAGCAACCCTAGCTGATATTTTTTTGTTTTTACTGGCGTTCCTGAAAAATGACAAATTATCTTTGAAGCGCTATTTGACTCTAAGCAGGCCAGATGTCTCTAGTTAAACAGTTTAGAAGCCAGTCGAAAACACACCACTAAGTAAAAACATACGGCCGCTGGGGTCTTACTGACCTAAGTTCACTTTCACTTTTCCCTGTTTTCCCAGCATCCCTTTTTATTCTTGACTGTCAGCAGGCTCTGAATCTCAGACTGATATGCAGGTTAGATCCAGCCTTGGCCAGGCTGTGGAAGGAACCTAAGGAAGTGAGGGAGCGGCATCCCGCAGACTCTGTACTCACATGACATTTACGGAGGGAGGCGGAGATGGCATGATGTGATGCCAGTTACTGTATGGTGCCATCAGGAAGCCTGTTCCAAGCAGTGTGTCTGGGGCATTCTCAGAAAACAAAGACGTGGACCGAGACTGAGCGGTGGGCAGTGGTGTGACTCTTTGAATAAAGAACTGGGCCTGGTGGGCCTGGTCTGTTAGCCTCGGCTCCGCCACTATTACATATTTATGTTTTACACTATTCCATCTTCCTTACCCTCCATTTCCTGATCTTTCTAGCGAGGAGGTTAGAGCAGACACACTTTAAGATCTTTACCACTCTCTGAAACTAAGTTGGGTAGCCCAGCTAGTACTAATCAAGGCTTCCTGAGTCTAGGTATATACTTCCTTCTCATGGCGATTTGATTTGGTTTTTACTTCCAGTACTCTAAGTCAGTTTTCAGATGTCCTAGGCAGGAATGTGAGAGTTTTGCAACCCACTGATGAGATAGACAGTCTGGAGATGAAAACCTGTGAGGGCTGTAAATTGCAGCCGAGACAAGGATTGAGATCTGAATGTGGTCGTTCATGTAAATACCGCCCTGCATGGGCCATGCTAAGTGGCCATAACAACTGTGCTTTGAAAACTTAGCTCACTGGTTGTGTGGCAGGTGCAGGTTCTGGCCTCAGTTCATTGCTTTTTCTAACCCCAGCTCCCCAACAGCCAAGATCAGCCTGAGCAGAAGGACCAGGACCTGAGAGGCAGGCCGTCTGGAAGAGCAGGACAAATCCTAGAGCCTACTGTGGGTTCTGGCCTGAGTCCTGCCACAGACATGCTGAGTGGGCCTGACACTCCTCTGTCAAAGGGGGTTGCTGAACGCGAGGATATTTAAGTCTCTGGCTCAGTGAGTAAACATATGCTCAGCACCATCTAGTCAGGCGCCAGGAGCCTAATTCTGATGCACTGTGAGGCCCTAACAAGAATAGAAGTCATCATCATAATAAATAAACCATCAGGCTGCATCAGCCCAGGCACAGTCCGCTCATTTGCGGATGGTTATCAGACAAGAGCTGCCGCTGTGGGAGTTAGGATTCACTCTTAGAGATGCTTCCTGAAAGTGACTACGACAGGAAGCCTGAGGCCAGATGGAGCCTGTAAGGTCATCCATTCCAGTTTTCTATCTGATGGCTTGGTCTCCTATAAATATCCTTTTAACTCAGGCTCGCACCCATCCCTGATGGGAAATTTACTGCCTCGTTAGGGCCTTACAACTTGTTAGAAAGTCCCCTTCTGTACGTATATCAAGCTGAAAGCCACTTCCCATTGCTGCTGACAATTGATTGTTCAGATGACATTTTCATATCATGTACGCATAGAAAGATTCTCTCTTTTTAATTTCTGGAAGGAGCCAGAATGAAGTGAATAGGATCGAGTATGGGTCCTCATGAGGAAACCTGGCTACTGTGTGCGCTGGTGGCATGAGAGATTGTTTTTTTAAAGGTGAGAATGGTTGTGCTACACTTTGTCAGATGTCTTAGTTCAGAAGAAAAGCCCCGTTTCTATCTCTGGGTGTTTATCTTACATACTTACATGTAATGGTTGATGTGTTAAATAACTACTTTTGAGCGTCTTCAATCTGCAGTGTATGGTGAGAAGGGCCAGAGCAGACAGAGGCATTGGTGCCTTGTTACCACGTNCTTTTGAGCGTCTTCAATCTGCAGTGTATGGTGAGAAGGGCCAGAGCAGATAGAGGCACTGGTGCCTTGTTACCACGNAACTACTTTTGAGCGTCTTCAATCTGCAGTGTATGGTGAGAAGGGCCAGAGCAGACAGAGGCATTGGTGCCTTGTTACCACGTTATCATTCACACGTTGATTCACTCACTAGGTATCTCTTTTACTTTTTTATTTTGAGAGAGAGATTGGAAGGGAGAGGAAGAGGGAGAGAGAAACACCGATGTGAGAGCGAAACATCAATTGGCTGCCTCCTGCACGCCCCTTACCAGGGATCGAGCCTACAACCCTGGCATATGCCCTGACCGGGAATCCCACCGGTAACCTTTCAGTGCCCATGATAGCGCCCAACCAACTGAGCCACACCAGCCAGGGCAACAGATAGTTCTTGAGAATCTGCTTGGTGCCCTCAAGGAGTTTGCAATCCATGAAGGGAGAGAATGTTTGATCTCATTGTATGGAAATTAGTGTTGGCTTTGCCATTGCTTTGCCGGGGGTTATGTGCTCTGCACTGCTGACTTCCTGCTACCTGGCACATTGGAAGCACGTGGTAAATATTGCTTAAGTGCAACAGTGGCTGAATACATGAAGGCAATAAGCACAGACTTGCAGCTGGTACCCTGAGCTAGATCCCGACTCCTCAATTTACTAGCTCTGTGGCTGGGGATAAGTACATGTGGCTTTATAAAACAGGGGCGGATTTTAAACAGGATTAAAAGAGATAATGTACAGAGTGCCTCTGTATGCAGTGCCTGGTATACAGTTCTAAAGAAAGAGAAAGGGAAGGAAGGAAGGAAGGAAGGAAGGAAGGAAGGAAGAAAGGAAGGAAGGAAGGAAGGAAGGAAGGGGCTTTTTCCATCCCTGGTCTAGCTCCATCTGTCTGTACAGGATAACTAATGAGAACATATTTCTAGAAATTTCCCTAGTTTGCTTGTGTTTTGAAACGAAAGACACAGCCCCACAGAGGAGGCCCCACCCCCGAGCCCTTTGGAAGGAGCCGAAATCAGCTTCACCTTGGTAAAAAGGAAACCCAGAGTTTCATTTGAGGAGATGGGAAAAATTCTGGAGATGGATGGTGGTGATGGTTGCACAGCACTGTGAATGCACTTGAATGCCATTGAACCGAATATCTAAAAATGGTTCAAGTGGTAACTATTATGTTTGCCTTTGTTTCTCTGTTCTCACCTACCCCATGTTCATGATCTGCAAATAGATGCTCCAGTACATAAAAGAGCCTTGCCATTTAAAGCTACCCCACAAGGAATCCTGTTTTAATGTCAGTCGTCGCCTGCCATATGTCCGGTGGGCTGAGGTGCTGGGCATGCTGGGTGCTCCTGGGACACACGCAGGGGTGGAGCTGGGAGCTAGGGAGAGTCAGGGCCTGGGCAGTCAGACCCCACTCGAGGGTGAATTTCTGTGTCTACTGCTCATTGTCCTTAGAGGCAGAATGAACTCAGGCTTTACTCAGGCAGATCACTAACCCTGGAGGCCAGCCTGGCGGGGGAGGGGGGGAGGACACAGTCACTATCTAGATGTTAGAAGTAGTCATAAAGCCTGGTGGGCAGCAGCTTCATGATTCTGGCCAGGCAGTCTTTTTACTCCACCCCCAGCCCAGGGCTTACTGGATGCCTGGTGTGAGGCCCCGCTCAGTGGTAGACTCACCAGCAAGTACGTGGAGCTGCTCTGCTCTCTTCCTTTGGACAGACCCAGGTGGGGACAGGGCTGCTCTCCCTGGGGAAAGCTGTGGGGACTTTGGCTGGGAGGGGCAGGAAGGATCAGAGCTCAGCCTTCCCCTCTCCTATTCTTCCCTTTGGCCAGTGTAGTTTTAAATATATTTAAGTATTTTTTACTTATTTTTGAACATCTGAGACAACTAGTGTTACGAAAGGACTCACCTTTTGGAAAAATGGAAGGTACCCGGTCCATCCACCCTCAGGGCCTTAATTTCTGGAGAGATCTTAGGCTTCCCCAAGCACTTTTGCCGTCATAGAGTGGTGATTCTATATGAGAATCACTCGGAGCACTGTTCAATCTCATTGTTGGGTCTGAGGTGGGGCCTGGGAATTTGCATGTGATGCTNTGTTCAATCTCATTGTTGGGTCTGAGGTGGGGCCTGGGAATTTGCATGTGATGCTGCAAGTTCCCAGGTGATGCTGCTGCGGCTGCTCCAGAGGGTGGACAGTCATAGAGTAATCCATTTATTCACCATGCTCTGAATGTAAATTATATATATTTTGTCAAGTTCACCATTTCTGTAAATATCTTCTATTGATAGGCTTGTCTATGTCTCCTCTGAACAGGTATTTTGACGTTGGACTTCATGATTTCTTAATCAGGTAAGCCAGTAATTTTTATTTTCAATATTATTGAGTAGCCTGCCTATTAGGGAAGAAAGATGAAAATAAAATTCTTGTTCAATATCTTGATAAATGTGGGCAGTTGTATACTTGTCAAGGAAACACCATTAGCACTGTTTTTTGGTGCGTCCCAGAATCACACGAGATTAAACAGTCCTTCTTAAATAATCAAAAGAAATTTATGTTTAAAGGGGTTTATATCTGAAGTGATAGTTAACCAAGAACTTGAACAAACTTAATTTTAACCTTTGGGCATCTGGAAAGACAAACAGAAGAGTGCCAACTTGTATTCATGCATTAAATGACCCACGTCACCAGTTTTCCCACTGAATTTAAGCTTTTTAAACTGAATCTATTGGTTGTTTTATAGTCATAAAGATATGGCGTGTTCATAATTGAAAGAGATTACAAATGGCAGTTTATATCCTATTTATTGGTGATTTTTAGCAGAGTTGGCTTATTAATTCCAAGTAGCTATTAAATCAGAGGTTAAATGGAAATATACCAGAATATTAGCAATGCTGATAAAAATATGCATGAGATTTTTTTTCTATCAACTTTGCTGTATTTTCTAGATTTTTTTTTTTTTTTTATATTGAGCATGCATTAGTCTAACAGAGGTGAAAAATTTTCACTAAAACGCCTGTCAAAAATATATGTGGGAAGCAATAATGGTTGTTCACTGTAAGCTGAAGATTACAGGGAAACCAGAAGTCATGTAGAGTGATGAGCTTTCTGCAAGCTCCTGGCTCTAAATGCAAATTAATTCTGACTGAGAGTCTGCTCTTCAGCAGCCTGTAAGTCAGGTGACTTCTGGGAAAGGCGGTTCAGTTCTCCATAGGCATGACCACCTCCCTGTGGGCAGGATGCTCCCGAGGGGAACTGGACATGATCGGCATTACCTTTGTCCTAAACCAACCGCGATTCCTCCGAGCCGGCCTACACATGGTGGAGTTCCACGGAAGGCCATACGTACCTTGTCCTTTCTCCAGGGCCTCATCCTGGGCTGTGCATTGAAATCCGCTCAGTATACCCCAGACCCGAGGACAAGGGATTGTCCTGGCTTTCTCCAGGATGTTGCACATAGCGTGTACACTGCTACCCTTGGCACATCAAGGGTAAGTGCATTTTCGCAGGAGGGATAACGCACCAGAAGTCATGGGAAGGGCAGGCATGGGAATTCCGTATCGAAACCGATGAGGAAAGGCTGCCTGGGTCTATACTTCAGGGAGTGGTCTGGATTTCTGAGCCCCTGTCTTTGGTGCTTAGTATGACCGCCGTGCTGCTGTTCACATCACCCCTCGCTGTGGATGCAAGTTTGTACTTTTCTTATGTTCTCCAGTAGCTTTCTCGAGGGCAGGGAACATGTCTTGGTCGCCTTTCTATGACTACACTGTATGGTATCGACCTTCAGCAGACATTTCTGGTAGGAGGGAATGAATGAAATGAGGCAAAAAGGGCAAGGAAGGTGAGGGTTAATAAGAAGCTACTTGATCATTTATTCAACAAGTAATTATGAAGCCTTCCGTGTGCCACTCACTTGGATATATCGGGCAGTACCATCATGAGAAAAACAGACATTCGACTTAGAGCTTTCCCTGAGATTATCACTTGCCAGGCTGCCGTGTGTGACTCAAAGTGGGGAGGAGGGGTGGTCTGGCCCTGGGGCCCCTCCTCTCTTTCCTTCCTGTGGGTGTCAGCCCTGTCTCCTGTGCTGGGTGGGGAGGGGAGAGGCATGGTTAAGTCCCTCTAATAAACTGGTGCTTGGATCTTCTTGCCCTTTTTCGTGGTACTGGGAGGATGCTCTGCCTAAGTAGTCACCTCAGTCTGTGTTCGGTGAACCAAGCGGTGGGGAGAGCAGCTCCTTCTGCCCTGCCATCTCTTGGCAGTTTTCTCTCCCCTGGTCTGGTAGGCACAGAGCAAATAACATGTCCCTTGCTTATCCAGTTGGCGAGTGAGAGGTCAGTCTCCCCTTCTTGCAGCCATGCCCGGTGTCTGTGATGAGGCCTCTTCTTTCCCCCTCCCATGACAGCACTGCCCACTAAGCCAGGAGCTTAGGGACACCAAGGAGCCCCTTCCTCTGTATCTGCCCAGCTTAGAGGAAGTGTGTGGGGTGGAGATGGTTCCTAGGAGCTGTCAGACCTCCATCTCTGAGAAGTCCCAGGGTGAGGTGGGGGTGTCACCTATTTATTTTCAGCCCTCGTTAGAAAATGGGTCTTTTCTGCTTCTAGTCTGGGAGATCGAGCTGGCTGGGGGCTGAGCGTGGTGTGTCACTGGGCACCTCAGTGAGAACTGTTTCGCTGGAACGTGACCCCGAGGCCAGGTGCAAGAGGGTGGGGTGAGTGACAACACTTTGAAGAAGTTAAGCTGTGAATGGGGAGGAAAGAAAGCCCTTGGCAGCTGGTGGAGAGGGACGCTTGAGTGGGATTTTTCCCTTTTTTAAATTGGAGCAACGCTTTGCTGTTTAGCCACCAGCAGGTCTTAAGTGTCCTTTAGACTTAGGAAAAGTGGTTTCTGTTGGCTGGAGAGAAGCAGAGTGTGATTGCCAGGGGCCGAGGAGGCAGAGGCGGCGAGAGGTGCCCTTGTACCCCAGAGAGCAAAGGCGTCTTCCCGTAAATGTATCCCGGGGCACTGGAGAGGTTTGGAAGAGCGAAGAGCCACGGGGTGGTACTTGAAGAACCCTTCTCTCTCTCCCAGTGATGGCCAAGAGAAGAAAATCATTTTCCCCTCGTAAAAGAGGAGATGGTGGAGAAATTGGCATAGGTTTTTGGAAAAATAAAATTAAGTCCATTCGTTGGCTCCAACAAGCTCTGAACAAGAACTCTGGTCCGTGGGGCTATCCTGCGTGCTTAGCGTTTGGCACAGTAGCAAGGGGAGCACCCCTGAAATGAATCAGCTGCGTCGCTCACGCTGATGGAAGTAACGCCGTCTTCTCTGGAATGAACGGCAAATTTCTACAAAGCCAAGAGCCCTATCTGTGATCTCAGCCTAGGCAACGGCGAGGAGGGACTTGTTTCCTTTTAAGTGGATGGAGTGCTTGGCATATTGTAAGAGATGTGATTACACATGTGGACATGAACTGGGAGGCAGTCAAACGGTTGTGGGACGTGGTCACAGGCTCTGCGCAAGACGGAGATGTCACGTTGAACGAAGTGGGAGCACTTCTGATACTGGCGTTTTATGATGATGGAAAATTCGGTGAGCTGAGTCCTTCCGCATGTTCCAGAAATCAAAGGAAAGATGGTAATCGCAGCTCACTTACGAAGAGCCTCGGAAGAAGGCTGTTGGCTGGAGTTGTTAATGTCACGCTACAGAAGGAAAAGGGAGACAGTGACCAACCTGGGAGAAGAGATGGTAGGAGAAAGCAGCTCTGTTTCATTTGCGATAATAAGGTGGCTTGTTTAAATTGAGCTTAGCTTAGTTTGGGCAAGAACATAAGAATGATTAGTGAGGTTTGGTTCGATTCTTGCTGACTGAGGCATTTTCCATTTTACCCAGAACTGTAGCGGCGCCAGCCCTTTCAGGAAGGTGTATTGTGACTGCTCTCCCTGTCCATCTAACCCCTCTAAGTTGCTCAGGTTGGGGAATGTTTTAAGCGATTCAGGCTGCTATCGTGATTTTTAAAAGAAGACCTGGAGCCATCCCTCTTCTATCTTGTTGGAAAGATTAAACTTGTCATTTCCCCTTTTTAAATTTTCATTGCTTATGCATTTTAAAAATCAGAAAAATATTCACCGTGTTTTCTATATTGTTTATATTTGGCTTTTAAACCCATTTCAAATACATATGCAAGAACCCTTACAGAGTTCTTTCTGGGCATGTCCTACATCCCTCCTGGACAGGGAGCTCTTGGAGGTCAGGGTCTGACTTGTCCATGTATTCCCCACAGTACCATAGTGTCTAATGTCTAGAGGGCCCTTAAAAATGTTTGAATGAATACATTTTAATTTTCAAAAATGTGAAAGGACCTAGTAACCATCTCCTTTCCTTTTCGTTTAATCCAGTTATTTATGATACCGATTAAGTGGTCTAAGCGCTGTTCCAAGAGCCAAGCTAAAAGCAATCCTGAGGTAGACAGCGTCCCTGCCCTCACTTGGCTTGCGTTCCAGGGGTGAAAGCGGAGCGTAAACAAGCAAACAAGGAAGCGAGCAATGGAGGCCAAGGTGTGAGAGCCACTGTGGGTCGGATGGGCAGGACTGGCCTCTTTGAGGCTGCAGGTGACACTCAGCTGAGAGATGGGTGAGGAGGGGGCAGCCAGGGGAAGACCTGGGGCTAGGTGGAGACAGGCAGAGGGAAGGGCTAGCAGCAGGGCCCTGAGATGGGAAGTAGCAGGTTTGAGGCATAGAAGGGAAGGGAGCCTCTGGGGCTGGAAAGCGTGTGGCAAGGAGTCCCCATGAGTCTGGAGGAAGAGGTGACAGCCAGACTACGAAGAGGGTTGGATTCTCTTTTAAAGACAGTTGGAGCCATTGGAGGGTTTTAAGTAGGGGAGTAACATGATCTGATTTATTTTTTCCAAAACTCACTGTGACAGGCTGAGCTGGGAATTTGGCGAAGCTGGGATTTTGGAACCTCAGCCATAACCCCTCGCTCTACCGCAGGCTGGCGCTCGGTGACACAGGCCTGTCCTTGCTCCTCAGGGAGGCTTCTTTGACAGCCAGCCACTATGACAGCTACTGTGTTCAGGAATAATAGCCCTCAATGATCCTTTACTTTCCTTCTTTTTATGTCTGCTTGGCATATTGTAAGAGATGTAATTATACATGTGGACATGAACTGAGAGGCAGTCAGACGGTTGTGGGACATGGTCACAGGCTCTCTCCAGAAGCGAGGGCAGCTGGAAGCAGTGGGGTTGGTGCTGGGCAGTCACTTGGGACGGAGGTTTTGCAGCTTTCTTGTGGGGGTCACGTAACCACCGTGTCCTGTGAGCTCTCAGCAAGCCCAGGCTCTCACTCCTTCACTGGCACTTTATCTGGGGTCTC